CTTCTGCTCTTTCCTCATCCAGTTGTTGTGTTCTGGTTTTGAAAATAAAGCTTTCTGAAGCAGTGAAGCTTTCCTTAAAACTGTATTTAAATGGATTCGTTGTGCAAAGCTTTGAAAACTCAGTGCACATTAATGACACCTGGTGGGTAAAAGTGTGAACAGCAGCTCAGTCCTGGGAGATGTTTTAGGACGGAAGTTCAAATCTTTGTCTTCTAGTGTTTAAAAGTATGTAATTTGTTTCTAAAATACTAACTTGATGCTATTTATATAATAATTATATATTATTATATTATTATATTCTATTATAATTATATAAACATGATGCAGGGCTGCGTTATATGATGAAAAATAACATCACTTTAGAGGTGATGTTTACAGCTGGTATTTATAACAAATCTCCTGATAAACTCATGCAGATCCTCACTCACTTGTAATTTTGTCCTGCATATTCTTCCCAGTCAAGCTGCGAGCTTCATATATATAATGGAAATCAAGATATAAGCATTTGCTGGACTAGATATAAGCTGGACTGGCTTCAGCTAAAAATGTGTTTTTCTGAGCTGAAACAATCTGTGAAGAACATAAGCAGAGCTCTGTAGAATCAAGACATAAAGAAAATCGAATCAAATATGAAACATGGAATAGAAAATTCTATTGAACATAAAAATGTGTATCGTTGCAGCCCAGTCTGAATCAGGTTTGTGTCTCATGAAGAGGGTGAGATTTCAGTCAGATTGCAGTGAAAGACAGTGAAATACAGGAGCTTGACTGAAATGCTCAAATTAAAAGGGCTGATGTAGAATTGAGGTGTTGAGACTGTGAGGTTGTCAGAAAGTGTTTGAGAAGGATTTGAAGTGAAACTGTAGCTGCTGATGGTGCAGGTGATTTGCTGCTGTATTTAGTTCTACAGGCAAGCTGGAGCTGTTATTTAAAACTGCATCCACAGCACAAGAGAACAGACATATGTGTGTGTGTGTGTGTGTGTATGTGTGTGTGTGTGTGTTTTACAAAGCAGATGATTAGTCTCATTGTTTTATTGTTTAATTAAGACACTATCCACTGTTATTATAAAACATTTTCAGCACATTTTGTCGTATACAGTTTAGCCTAAATATTACTATATGCAAAATATTTGGAAATCCTTCTGAAATGTCCTTCAGAATACACACTTAAAGGCCCAATCCCATTTCTTATTTTTACCCCTACCCCTTGTTTTCGAGTGTCACCTTGCCCCTTGGAACTGAGTTACAAGGGGTAGTGGTTGAAATCTTCCCCCATGAAATGGGACTCTCAAGTAAAAAAGAACACAACTTCATTAACAGGCTACTAGCGGTGCTCTGTAGGCGACCCTGTCAATCTGCAGTTTCAGCAGAGGAGGGTAAAGTTCAGCAACCTCACTGCTGGTCTTTAGTTAATTTAGGGCATCATATGCTTGCGAAGAAGGGATTGAGGATGCGACAATTATTTATTATCACCCACTCTTAATTCTTTGGTGATATGAAGCTTAAGTCTGCTATTTGCCAGCTTCTTGTTTGAATTTCCCCATTTCACCTTAAATGGAGCAGCAGTTACATTCTGGTGCCTCAGGCATCAGAACTGCTGGACTACTTAAGGTAGAATGAAAAATTTAGGCAGCTAGCTACCAAGACCCTCCATCTCAACAAAAATCAGGACACCCTACCCTTAGGTGTTAACGCACAGAACGGAGGTGTAAAGGCTAAGTGGTAGGGGCAAGGGCTGAAATTGGATTGGGCCAAAATGATGGATCATCAAGGGTTCTTTAGTAAAGGCACTTGTTCAATTTACAACCATGAGTTCTATATAGAACCACTTGCATGCTTAAATGATTGTTTGCATGGTGAAATCGTTCTTCAGATTGATGGAGAATGTGTTGTATAAGGTTGTATATAGAATTTTTTTGAAAATGATTTCAAATAACACCAAAAAGTTTCTTCTACTGTTATAAGCTTGTTACAGCAGAAGAACACTTTTTGGTGCTATGAAGAACCATATACAGCACATTCTCCATCTGAAGAATCATTTCACCATGCACAGAACCTTGTAATAATGAAACAGTTCTATATAGAACTCATGGTTCTAAATAGAACCATTCCCTTTACTAAAGAATCCTTGAAGAACCATCTTTTTAAGTGTGTAGGCTTAGGAATGAACATGTAAAATATCATGAATGCAGGTATTTTAGAAGCTGACATTTTTGGTTCTGAATGTAGGTTCCTGAATGTTGGATGCTGAATGCTGATGTGGAGAAAAACAGATTTTTGAAAAAAAAAAAAGATTTTAAGAATGGGCCTCAGAACTGCATTACCCAGTAAGAGAAAACATCCAACCTCTCTCTATTGCTTAGAATTAAACAGGCTGATTTTGTTGCTGTGCCTTGACTGCTAAACGTAAATGTCCTGTTTTCTGATAGCCTGCCTATTATTGTACACTCAACCAGCAGTCCAGACTGAAACACTCCTCATAACTTCAACATGAATAGGGCTAAACTGCTATAGGAATGCATCAGTTTTCATGACATCACAAAAACAATGAGCTTAAAATGGGTTGACTTTGCAGCTTAGTTAGACTCAGCAGTGAACAGAAACTTGAAACTTTTTTTTATTTTTGCATATTACAACAATTTTTTCCATTTAAAAAGGTGACAAAAGTTTGATTTTCATGTTGTGAACCCTTTTTACGTAAGACTATGTTATAGATGTACCTGTTGTTTATCCATCTGAAAACTGATTGACGAGACCAAAATCATCATTTCAGCCTATGGTGTCTTCCCTTAAACTATTTGTAATGATTCAAATGATTGGTTTTATTGAAATGATCAGGCATGAATCAATCATTTTTGCTTTATTAATTTTCTTGAACGTTGTGCTTCAAACATTTCCCCAGATAATCCTCCTTCCTCTGAACACATGTACACCCATGGGTTATGCTGTGTGTGTGTGTTTGTGTGTGTGCCAGGTTTATGGGACCACAGCCTGTTTATACACACACATTGTGGGGACCTTTCTTGCTTGTGGGGACCACAATCTGGTCTCCACAATTTAAATGATTAAATTTTAAAGTGAAGGTTTTAAGGTTAGAGTTAGGGTAAGGATAAGGTTGGCTAGAAGTAGTTATAGTTAAGGCTTGGGTAAGTCTCCAGAAATGAATGGAAGTCTACGCAATGTCCTCACAATTCACAGAAACAAACATGTGTGAGTGTGTTTGTGTGTGTGTGGGTATATGTGTGTATGTATGTGGTTTACACTGTTATCTGTTTCTCAGTGCTTCAAAGAAGCAGCCTGAAGGCTCAAATACAGTGTAGTGCATGCTAACATAAAGAACACACACAGGTTTGTTTGTTTGTTTGTCAGGACGTGAGGTCATCCATAGACCCCATATGTGTTATATACACACTGGCCCTTTTTTGTCAAAGTTGCATACAGACAAATGACTGCATGCCGACTTCACTGCAGTGAACCTGTGGTTAACCAACCAAAACTATCACTGATATGATCTATAATGTCCAAAATAAAAATAAAAACATAAAATGACAATAATACTAGTTTGTGCACATGGCAATCCTGTACAAAACTGGATGTACTTATTCATGCACATTGGCATAAATAGATGCTGCAACTATTTTATGTTTCATAAAGACATTTTACACTGAGCCTTTGTTCTATACTACGGAAATAGTGTTTAAATAGGTTATTTTAGGGAAATAATCACACTACACAATCACAACATTCTACCGTATTAAAAACTATGATGTTTTGTTTCACATTTAGTTCTTTCCAGTGGTCATAATTTTAACACTATAAAGTTTAGTCAGTAGGGGGAGCACTCAATCACCTCAAACTCTACCTACAAATGCACAGCCACTCAGTTCTGTCGTTTTATTGGCTACCTACTGAAACATCTGCATGAACTAGGGTGTACTTTATGTAAAGGATATGTAAATGAGGGGCTGGTAGGCTGGTGCTTGATTTCATGCACTGAAGCTGATTCATCATTTGATTCACACCTCCATGAATCAGATGCAGAGTTCTTCATACATTAAAGGTGGTCAAATCAGCACGCTTTTTTAGCAAACTTTGATGAATGAGGGCTAATATGTCCAAAAGTATTCGGACTCCTGGAAGAACATCTAGAGGTGTATAAAACCCCTCAGCTTTGGGGAGTGAAGCAGTGGAACTGCTGAGGTGATGGTTCTTTGGAGTGATTGAGCTCCATCCAGTATCTTTGGGAAGAGTTGGAGTGGTGTTTATGATCTGGAATTAATCATCAAACAGCAGTACTTGACCTCACTAATGCAATCAAATCCTTACAGCAATATATCAATATCTAGTGTATCTTCTCAGATGAGTAGAGGCTTTTACTTCAGCAAAATGGGTACAAACACTCTTGATACACTTGATTTCAGAAGAAACGGTGGATATCTATGTATAGAGATCATTTTTCCCATCCAGATTAAGGTTAATCCTAGACTGGAGAGACTTGCCAGTGGTGATTCACCATTGACACCTCAATTTAATCTTAGAATAGGCTTAATTCTTGTCCAGGGAAGTGGCTCACAGTGTATATGTTAGTACTTATATGTAATCAGAATTCTCTAAGCTTAACCCTAAACTTAATACTTAAAACTCATTACCTTGACTTCTATAACCAAATAAAAATGGCCCAAAAACTGAAACATGTAGCACTTTACTGAGTTTTTCTACAAAATCAGGATATTCTTGTCCACAAAATGCACAAAAACAAACACACTCTCTCACCCACCTAAGCACAAATCATTATTACAGATGCAGAGCTCAGGAGTGTCAATGCGCTGTGTGTGTTTGTGTGAGATTGTGAGAGATGTGAGAACTGAGTGTGACAGCAGCTGCAACAGATCTCATCACACTCACACAGCGCTCTCTCTCTCTTTCACACACCACACACACACACACACACACACACACACACACACACACACACACACACACATTAATCACTTTTGGTCTCAGTGTTGCACCTCCTGCTAATGGTGCAGGAGCACAGGACATAACCTGTTCTTTTTTTTCCTTTTATTTGCAATTTTCCCTCCATTTTAAAAATATTTCTCCGTTGCTTTCTATTTTGTCTAGATTTTGAACACCTCAGGAGTTCCTTGTGTCTCTGGGCTGACAAAAGATGCTAATAGGAGCTTTAAAGACAATTAATTGCCTGTGAAATATTCAATTTTCTGAAACTTTCAGCTGATTTTGACCTCGCTGTCTTTCCAAAAGGAGTTTTTGTACTTTTTCTACCTGCTCTCATCGTTTATTTTGGTCTGGTTTGTCAGTGAACTCCACAGTAAGTCATTACCGATTGTTTAGTTTGGTCTGGTTTGTCAGTGAACTCTATAGTGAGTCTGTTTGGTCTTGTTTGTCAGTAAGCCATTACTGATCATTTAGTCTGGTCTGGATTCTCAACGAGCTGTACAGAAAATCATTACTGATCATTTAGTTTTGTCTGACTTGCCAGTAAGTCATCAGTCGTTGTTTAGTTTGGTCTGGTATGTCAGTAAGTTATCACTGATCATTTAATCTAGTCTGAATTGTCAACGAGATGTACATTGTCATTACTGATCATTTAGTTTGGTCTGACTTGCCAGTAAGTCTTCAGTAATTGCTTAGTTTGGTCTAGCTTGTCAGTGAACTTGACAGTGCATGTTTACTGATTGCTTAGTTTGGTCTGATTTGTCAGTAAACAGTACCATGAGTCATTACTAGTTGTTTACTTTGGTCTGGTTTGTTAAAGAGAATTACAGTAGATCATTACTGATCGCTTAGTTTGGCCTGCCTGTCAGTGAGTACTACAGTAGCTAAGTAATCACTGAATGTTTAGTTTAGTCTGGTTTCACAGTGGGTCATCACTGATCATTTAGTTTGATCTGGTTAATGTTATTTACAGTTTTTAAAAACAGTGGCCATGCTGGACACCAGCCCATGCCTACACATTGACTCCACCCCTTTTGGATCACCACCTATCAGCAGCAGCGTAGAGAAACAAGGGATCCAACTTGATCTGGAGAGACGAGCCTGCCAGAGTCTCAGAGAAGGTGGGGATCTACAAACACACACACACACACAGTCACACACAGTGTGAAGTGAAAGTATGAAGTGTGAAGTTGCTGATTGGCAGTAATTGCTTTCCCTTAGAAATATCTGAGAAATAGGAAGCTCGTTTCAATAACGGTTTTAACATGCACTCGTCCACTTAGCCTCACTGTTTCCCCTCAGGGGAATCCCTGATGCCATCTTAAGGGCCGTTCTATAACTTTACTACCTCAAGTAAAGTGTGTTAGATGAGCCCTCAGAGGGCTGAGGGATCGAGTGAACACAAATGTTGACTTCAGCAGCAGAACTACCCCAGAAATCATTGCGACCTGACACATTTGCCTTGTCCCTGTTTATAAGCTATAGCAGCAAACTACTTTAAAAGGCTTAACATTTCAAAACCTTAACATTCGTTTTGCTGGGCTTTAGCTTGCAAACTACTCCATCTGTTATACTTGACTGCTGTGTAACGTCATTACTTTGCTTTGCCAGCCTGCTAGTTAGCATGCTAAAGGCAACACAGCTAAACAACAAAAAGAAAGGCACTACACCACAGTTACGCACCAAGTTTACAGCCAAAAAAAGCAGTTGTTCACAAGTTTTATGTATATTTTGTTGAAGTTTTTTAAAAAACTTTTTGCCGATTAACTTGCTGAGGCTAACCTCCCTACTGAAAAAACAGTACAGGCCAGCATAATTCATGGTTTATGTTGGTTAAGGTTGGTCTGGTGCCTGTTTTATCTGGCCACCCAGAATGGTCATGCTGGTTGACCAGCATACCAGCATCCAAAACACAACCTATGCTGGTTTTGCTGGTGACCAGCCATGCTGATTTGTCTAGCAGGGCTGTTAAGAGTGGGAGCGTTCCATTTGAATAATTTGTTCCTCACTGTTTCCTATTTCCTTTTTGCTGTGAATGGCCACTTGTGTGACCAGGCCAGAAGCATAGCTACCTTACACCAGGATGCGAACTAAGACGCTTCAACCTACACAGACATGATTTCGCATGTTGTTGCTATCCAAAATGTGTCACGAAGCAATTCATAACGCAATGCAGGTGCGAGCTGCAAGCTGCATTCTGAGCGTTACAGCAAGAGGCGCTATAGCAGAAGCCAAGCATTACCAAGCTGTATGGTACCGTCAGTGTACTTTCTCAACTCCCATAGCAGAGGAGCAGTTGAATCATATGCAAAAATAGTTCACTTACATAAAAATATATAATACATTATTGCCTTGTCATTCCAACAGAACAGGTATAGCAGATCACTTTTCTATACTGTCTGCGTTTAGCTGCTGAGGGTGTTGGAATAACAGTAGATTCCGCTCTGATTTGTTCTCCGTCACTCCCTTGAGTATTGTATGTTTCAACCACCACAGTGATGAAGAACGCACATTGAATTTATACAGAAGGGCTGTGCGTTTGCAATGCATTGGCCAGGCATTGTCATTTTCATTTGCGTGCTTGTGTTGAGTATGTTTCTGGCCTAATGCACATTCGAGTGTTGAGTAGAAGTGGGTGAGGGCATGATGGAAACAGTATTGAAAGGGCATGTATTTTGTGTCCAGATTCTGGACTATATCTAGATAAACTCGGGCTGTATTCCATTTACACTTCTCACTAAAATGTGTGCTCAGTGTGACCAGATGAGGTCCAATTGTACTTTTCCCGCATAAAAAGCATGTCAACACACATCGTTTCTGTTTCACTTTTGTTTACTAACCCGGCCCCCCCACCCCCCGTTATGATATGTGTCAACAAGCTTGTCTTGGATGCTTTCATCAGCCTGGAGTGCATGAGGGCTCAGCAGAGGCTAACATAATTTCCACCAACATAACTGTATATTGATACCCAAAACGCTTCCCCTTGACACTTAAATTGTGTTAAATATGGTCAAGGTCCGTCTCTGACCACCTGTGAATGTGGTAATCCAATCACAATGCATCTTGAGGGTGTCTATTCCTGGATTTTCATGCAGTCATGTGAAACGTGTTCCAATCACCAGAAACGCATGTTAATAGTGCAAGGTGTACACAGGCTCTTTGCATGTGTATGTGATCGTATGTGGACACAAAACCTAAGCATGTAGGTTTGAGTGATTGCCACATGCCAGTTTTCCTGCTGGTCACCTGGTGGGTTGACTCACTCTTTGCTCCCTTGTCACTGCTGGATGCCTGTCAGCCCTTTTCTCTATGCAAATTCAGTCTTCCCTCACAGACCTTAACCCCTTAAGGACAAGGCAAAAAGCTATAGTGGCAAAAAGCAACAACAGCTAACTAAATAAATAAATAAATAAATAATCGCTGCTTAATCTGCTTTATTTTGATTATGTGATCTCTCAATGCTGATGTCACTTTTACTATGATATGTAATATGATATGTATAATGATAGTTCAAGACATTAAGCATCACAATACTTACTTTTTCTGAGGTTAATTAAATTGGAACAGAGAAATTTTGTTCCTTAACTGAAGGTCCTGAAGACGAATGTACCACCTCAGTGACAGATTAGTATCTTGTAGAGTACATCTGTTGTGTTATGTCATCACATCATCAACATTTTTATATTAAGGTGGACTGTTTTTGTTAGTTTAAATGTCTCACATATGTATCATGGCAATATAGGTTGTCTGTGTGTGTGTGTGTGTGTGTGTGTGTGTGTGTGTGTATAAAGATGGGATATGCAGCAGGGAGTTTAATGCCTGAGGGGCTACGGAAATGTAAAAAAATTGGGAACCACTGTCTTAGGACAAGGGCGGCATGGTGGCGCAGTGGGTAGTCTCACAGCAAGAAGGGCCTGGGTTCGATTCCTGGCCGGGTGATCAGGGTTCTGTGTGGAGTTTGCATGTTCACCGCTCTGCGTGGGTTTCTTCCCACAGTCCAAAGACATGCAGTCAGGCCAATTGGACATGCTAAATTACCCCTAGGTGTGAGTGTGTGTGTGAATGCGTATGTCTGACTGTCTGGCCTGCGATGGACTGGCGACCTGTGCAGGGTGTATCCTGTCTTCTGCCCAATGACTGCTGGAATAGACTCCAGCACCCCCTGTGACCTAGAAGGATAAGTGGTTTAGAAAATGTGTGTGCATGTGCGTGTGTGTGTGTGTGTGTGGGTTTCTTAGGACAATGTCATAAATCCTACCCCTACACTTTCTGTGCAGCCTCTTTGTGTCTCAGTAGAGTCTTGTTTCCTGCACACCCACACATACACACCAGGGTCTCTGAGTTCACGTCCTTCAGGCCAGAGTGTCTGGCACAGTAAAGGGGTCAGTGGCTATCTGAGGGTGTCCTGCAGAACATGACGGGGGTATGCCCAGTCCAGTGCTAAACTTTCTCATATGCACTTTGAGCCAGTAAAGACACACACACTCACTTTGAAAAGGGGAGTTATAATTTACATTCATGCACTTATTATAGAGTAGAAAGAACTGTAAAGACAGAGAGAGAGTTATACAGAAAATTTGAAATAAATATTATTTATTTATTATCATTTTATGTAAAAAAGAAACATAAAAAGGAATATATGTATGTGTGTGAATATATTAAAGAAAAGAGTGTATATATTCTTTAATTTATAAATATACTTTAATTTTATTTGAGAACTATTGTGAACGATTGTGAGCTAATTGTAATCATTGTACCAAATCATTCTACTGAACTTGTTCAAAGTCAGTGTTCAAAATGCATTTTGGACTTGTAACTGACCTGGACTTCAGACTAAAATCCTTTGCTTTGTTTATTTTATTAAAACAAATGATTTAACATCCAATTTTGTCATGAACAGAACAATCATATCACTACTGAAACTTTACCAAATGTTTCAGGAGTGAATGTTTCAGTAGTGACAATTTTAGCTAATTTTAAGCAGAAACACTAGCCAGTACATGACTAGCAAACACAATTTGCTTAACTGCAGAAAATATGTGTTTTGGTAGTGACAGTTCTTAATGTTTCCCACTGATTTTCAGACTTTGTAACACATTTACTTCAAATCAATGGGATCTAATTGCTCACCATGTGGCCATGAAGGACAGGGATGCAGTCTTATTTCCTGCTCTAAAATGCAGGGGTGTGGCTAAAATAAGTCTCTGACTACAGTCTTTCTGTTTCGGTACTGACATGAAACCAGGACAGCATTTTTTGAATAAAGTTCATTTTTTTAAATATTTTAAAATTAAATTAATGATAAATCTAAATTGTTCAACTTCAGTTTAAAAGACATCAAACAGATCTTTAAAAAGCAACAACTTTTTTTTTTTTTTTAAAAATACATATTATTTTCACAAGTTGATGTTTAGGGGTTAGGGTTTGGGACAGCTACCTCCCAATAGAAAGTATCCTATAAATGATGTTTTGTATATATTTAGCTTGTTACTTTCTCAGTTAAAGCCTTGGATTTACATAGATCATAACAATCACTGTAAATATCTGAGGTCTGAGTTCTTTTTTTTTAAAACAACCAGTGAAGCTACCAGGGTTATTAGACTTAAAACAGTTTAAAGCAGCTTCAGTTCTCTTAGGTACACTGGCGTGCAGTTATTTAAGGTATTTAGCTGGCAGGTTGTTCCAAGCCTCTTGAAGAACCTGCCACGTTCTTGATATAGTTTTTAAAAACATGAGAACTGTCATTAGCTTTGTAGTGGACATTGTATACGATGTCCACTTCAAAACTAACTAAAATGACATAGATTTTTTTCAGCGCCTGAATGAGAGTAGGAAGTGGATCGCTTCTGTGTTTGACCCTCTTCAAGGAAAGCAGAGGCTGAGCTCAGTCTACTGCTGTGTTAATATTCTATATTTATCAAATACCTACTATCACAGAGTTCAATAAGCTAAAACTAATACTGAAACTAAATAAAAATGAAACTAAAATGATTAGTCTTGAGAAAGTAAAAACTAAACTAAAACTATTAATGCAGGCTTAAAACGAATTGAAACTAATCTGGAATCAAAAGACAAAATGAAAAACTCAATAAAAATAAAAACTAATGAAAATTTTGAAACT